AGCAGGACGCAGGTCCCGGTAGCACTGCCTGGATGTAGCATAGCACAGGGCCTGCCTTCCCCACCTTGGGCTCCAGGAAAGCTGGACCACGTCAGTGGGTGGCCCTTGATGCTCTGAAGCACCAAGCAGGTGCTACACATTGGGGAACTACAGCCCCAATACAACTGCAGGTTCATGGTGCCATAGGAAACAAGGACTTGCAGCAGAAGGTGCAAAGGTGCTGCAGTGGCTACTGCACGTGTTACTGTACATGTGTACTTTTGGTTCAAACAAGTCTGGAATTGCTTCAGGCAACACAACCACGCATGCAAACTCTTAGAAATAGTACCCATAGCTCCGGCAGCTATTTCTGGTTCACCTGAGCATCGCAGTGACACACCGTCTTGACACCTCTGTGAATAAATCCCGTGCAGCCCCCAGCACGCACACGGTTCCTCACCCACACTCGGTAACACCGTGATTATCGCTGGCTCCAACAATACAACACACATGCTCTGTCAGTCACCTGTATCCTGGTGCAATACAACATGGTATTCGAGTATTGTGGTGGAGAGGTGGTTAATAAGGAATAAGGTCCAGAGAATTACCCTTCTGGGCACATCCATGGTTGGGTGTACTGCTGCAGCTACACGTTATCACGGAATCATTGAATTCTAGAATGACAGAATGGTTTGGGTTGGAAGGGACCTTAAAGATCATTTAGTTCCAACCCCCCTGCCACAAGCAGGGACACCTTCAAAAATTGCTCAAAGCCCCGTCCAACCTGCCTTGAACACTTCTTAACAGAGCTAGGTTTTGGGGCATGTCCCTAACCGAGCCCTGCTCTGTTAAAGTTTAGCCCAGACTAAAACAGTAGAGCTTTGTAACAAACCCATTGTGGGAAATGCTTATTTCTTCTTTTTTTTTTTTATTAAGGGGAGAAAAAGAATCATTTTTAAATCCTCTGTTGGTTTATCTGTATGGCTGCAAATTCAAACTAAAATTAACTTAATTCCCAACGATATCCACACTAGGCAGGCACCTAATGGGTGTCTTAAGCATCATCTAAGTACACCTTGACTTCATGACAATTTCTGTCTTATTGAGCTGGTGGGGGCCTTACTTGACAGTACTTTTTAGATACTAGATGCTGCAACTATGTTGCAACAGAACCAGGGTCTGCACACGCTGCTTGTCCTCCACACAGCAACTTCTGACTTCAGTACAAGAAAGGAGCTTCAAGTGTCAGGACTGACCTCAGTTTCTGGCTCCGTACTGGTTGTTGCAGACCAGCAGTCACTTATTACCTATTGGCACCGAACAACTCAGGGTTGTACAGGATTTAAAAGAATTCAGTAGGACTAATGGAAAAAAAACATTCTAAACTGCTAAATCCTTCTGCCTGTTCTTTTAAGGTCAAACTGTACCTTAATCCATAAAATTATCAAAACTGCTTCTGCTCAAAGGACTTCTTTCACACTAGCACACAAAGAATAAAACAGGTAAAAGACCTCCTACCACTGACTCCCAGGAAACCTCCTGTCCCTGGAGGATGGAGACCCAAGGCATCTTTGTCACTCACAAGGTCCGTCACCCCTCTGTAGACTACTGCTTTTGGCTTGAGCCCCCACTTTGCCTGTCGCTGCCTTTCACTCTCCCACCCTCTTTGACAACACACAATGAGGAAAGTTTGCTCACAGACTGAGTTTTTACAGCTACACAGTATTTTCTGGCCACTTAGCCTAGTTTTTGCTTCTCACATGACTCTTCTCTTAATAGTTTTCTTATCTCTTTCTTTACCCAATGGAAAATATTAACATTTTTGCAACCCTCCCTCCTCTCTCAATGAGTAACCAGTGCATAAACGAAAGAAGCAGGTTACAGCCTCTAATCCATGAATGCGGTGGGAGCAAAACCTTGTTCCAGCTGAAGTAACCAGGACAACACCCACTGACCTCAGGAGAGGAAAAGCTATGCAGAGAGACACCTTTAACATCCAAATCACAAACTGCATTTGGACAACTCATCCACATACACAGGGTATTATTGTTCCTAAAATTACTGCTAGTAAATTCAGGTATAACTGGAGCTGAACAAGGTTCATCTGTAACAGGTAACGAACTCCTCCGGAACAGGTCCCAGAGATGTGCCAATACTGGCCAGCCTTTTTAAAGACACAAATATCACCTACAAAACATTCATAAAGAAAATTTGCACTTTTCTGATGAACAGCAGGTTTGGACAGATCACTTCTCTCCTGCAGGTCACTCCACTGCACTGGAAATTATTCTGTGTAGAAAATGCACAGCGTTGAAAGAGACAAAACTACACTCTGCAACCATCCACTGAAGTAAACAAACAATGGGGAAAACTCAGCAGCCACACAGAAAGCTCACCCACTGCTTTTACCTTTCCAAACGAGGGATCTCTGTGACGTCTCCTCTGAAGAGTGTTTCACTTCCATCCTTTAAGCCATTGGCAATGCCTCCACTGCAGCCCGTCACCTCCCTGTCAGGGGGAAGCTGCAGGACATCTGGCTGTCCCAAGGCTGAAGTCCGATCTAGAAACTGGCCACCCTCCTTCATGCGCTGCTGGATCATGGGAGTGAGTGGCATCTCAAAGCTGAAGTAGCTATCAGGCTCCGAATACAACGTCTCCAGCGATTCTGCGCTGTAGTATAAAGATGCATTGTCTAGGATGTTTTCAAACTGTGAGCTGTAGAGATCAGTGGAGACATCAGAGTGCCTCTGCCCAAGGACATCTTCATATCCTCCTGTGGCTGCTTCCCCCTCCTCCACCATCCTGGAAATTAATCAGAAACAGCTCATTTCAGCTTGGGGGAAAGGTTTAGACCTCTGGTTGAACCTCCTTACCTTCCACCTTTGCCAAAAGAAAGGTCAACGCGGCTTTGTGCAGGAGAGCACTCTGAGGGTAAAATGCTAGTTTCTCCTTGCACCACCTCTGTTCATGACTGGCACCGTGTCCCTCTCTGGGGACGTAAACTGAAACAATCTTCTGGGAAAAAAGGAGGACAGGGGAAAGGCCTAATATTGCCTAACAGATAACATCAGCTGTTTATGTGCAAAGGAGAAGAGCACTCAGAAATGCCTCCCCTAGCACCACTGCCATGCTAGAGGCTGCACGGGCAGGAGACGTGCAACCACATGGGGCCTCTGTCCGCAGAGTAGTTTCCTGGCTCTGCAGTCCTAGGACTGAGGTCTTCCTTGACAGGCTGGAGGAAATCCCTCCAAAATGCAATGGGAAGCAAATGCAATTAAAAACCTGGAGCTGAGAGAACCAGATTTGAAGGAGGAAGTCTCAGCCTGCTTGCAGAAGCACAGGGGAACATGTAGCATCCCCCAATGTCAAGTGCTCCTCTCTGCTGCATCAAATACTGTAGGACTCCTCGTGGCACGTGCCAGGCATCAGGGCTGCCTGCCCAAGTGATCCCACACACACGCAAAACTCCAGAGATCCTGAGGTGCAGGGGCAGGAGCCTCTGAGATCCTTTTCCTTGCCGAGATTCTGTTGTTTCAACAGCAAACACTGCATCAGGTCAGAGCATGCACAGTTTGCTCAGAGGGCACTGCTGGGGGTGTTTGCTTTGTTACAGATGCGCATCGGGAAGAAAAAGTGAGCACATCAGGATGATCTTGTAAAAAGCAGTGCACAAGTTTTGCAATAAATATATATATAGATAATACCAGGTAAACGCAGTTAGATAGGTAATACAGAAAGCACATCACAGCATTTACCCTCTCATAACATACAAGGCCTTGGGCAAAACGTTTTTATTACCCGACGCCTCGGAGGTGCTCACACTGTTCTTGCACAAACTCTGCCCAACACCAGAAAATCTGGCCAGGCGCACACAGCCAGGCCTGCATGCTGCCTATACTTAATTACGTGCCATGTCCCGGTCCCAAATACAACCCGCCACAGATGTTTCGTCGTAGAGCCATTACTCTGCAAGCAGCGAGAGACATCTTTATGTTTCCAAATATGAGGTGGACTTCAAACTCTAGCAAGGTGGTGTGGACAGGGTTCAGTCCCAACTTCATGCACTAGCCACCACCAGGCATGAACAGCTACCATTGCCACCATGCCGCAGGCAGAAGAAAACACCCGTTGTTTGCCATTAGCTCCTAAAGGGATAAGGCACAAGCTACGTGTACGTGGGACAAGAGAAACCCTGCATGCCCCCTGTGCCCCCACAAGCAGCATCTCACCTGCCCTGGCCTCTCACTAGCACAGCCGTCTCCTCCTCACCACGGTTCTTCTTGCCCTTCACGAAAACTTCATCCTCCCAGCTATCAGCGAGCACTGCTCGAGGAGTGGCTCCTGGGGCAGCAGGTCCTGGCTGTGGGTCCTCACAGACCTCACTCCAAGCGCTGTCCGGTGAGGAGACCAAGCCTGGGGAGACCATCAGTGGCACAGGGTGGCTGGAGGTTTTGGGGAACGCCTTCCTCTCCACGGACACTGTCTCCAGCAGCGAGTGCTTCTTTCTTCTCTGCTCCTCAGCTTTTTGCAGCCATAAAATCTCCACCCCTTGAAATTCTACATGTTTGCTCACAGCTGCCTCTTTAGAGAGCCTCCTCTCAGGACCCATTTGCATTTTGCCTTGACTGTACGCTGAAAACTCCTCAAAACGCGCCCACCCCTCCACTCTGCTGGCTGCTTCCAGGTTTGTCACAGATGGTCTATGACAGCTTGTCTCCTGAGCTGCGTGGACCTCCTCGGTTTTATTATTGATGGCTTGCAAGGACTCGGACTGCTTTTCTCCAGTCCATATTGCAGCCAGATCTTTCTCTACGATCAAATGCATTTTTTCCTCAGCTGTTCTTTCAGATGGAGGAGGCATGTCTGAGGGTTTTTCTTGGCCTGCTGGAACTGGTTCTCTGGCTGCCTGCACATTTTGGCTGCCAGTAACGCTCTGTTTTTCCATTTGTGTCTCCAAATCAAGGGAAGTATTTGCTCTCTCTTGCACCTTTGTTGCTTCCAGCCATCGAGAGATTTTCATCATCTCTGGCAGGTTACCCACAGGTTGCAAACCTTCTTCTGGGGCACACAGCTGCACTGCCCCGGCATCAGGTCTGGAATCCTCTGCAGGAGCCATACGTTGGGGAAGGGGCCTGCCAGGTACCCTATGGTGACCGTCCCAAATTTCTGGGCTGCGTGTTACAGGCTCTGCCCTCAGCCCGTCTCTGCTTGCCTCTACGGTGCCATACTCTGGAAATTCATTGATGATGGTATGAGGGAGCAAAGTGCTGCTTCCACGGCCACTACCTGCAAACGGAAAAAGAGACTGTGGGTTTATCTACCGCACGCATAAGCAAAAGGACCGACCTCCCTTCCCAGCCCTCTCCTAACAGAGTAACTACACTCTCTGCTGCAGGGAAAATACCATTTGGTTTAACTCACTTCTGCACGCTCTCACACTGCACTTATCCAGAGCTGGTCCTTTTACACTGGAGTTTTTGGCCAGCCTTACTTTGGGAGTGTGCATTGCTGAGGAAGGAATGCCAGAAATGTCTGCTACACTTCAGAAAGGGTCCCAGTGGCCCACGAACAGTCTGAGGCCACAGGCCAGGCGCAAAGGCTGAAGAAAGCAGATATTCAGAAGACTGACATCCCTCCACAGCATCTGTTATACATGTTGGTTTTATTAAATAAAAAAAAGGGTTTAGGTCATTTTCACTTATAAAGATGAAACACCAGGAAGATAACCAGACACACCCCGTATATTCCACAGCCTTGACAAAACCAATTAGCTAAATTACAAAGCAATTAATGCGCAATTCAACTTTCTGCCAGCACTACCCTCTTCCTTTAACAACTCAGGTAATTGAAGGTCATGTGGCAGTGGTGTACACTTACTGAGTAGTTCACGTTTTCTGTTGCAGCAAACCCACCACTGCACAAGATGCCTGCTACCCTTCCCCTCCTCATGCTTCTTTTCGAACCGATGTAAACAAAGCAGGAGTGAAAATGGATGGTCCCACTTCCCAAGCGCCGAGCACCCAGTGGCTCCCATTGTTGCGGGGTAACAGAGAACCAGCTGTCCTCAGAGGGATCTCACGGATGACACAATGACAGATAGGACAGATACTTGGCCACCTTCTATTACGGCCCAACGAGGAACTAAGGTTTTGAAAACACAACAACAACCAAACAAAACAAGTAGCAGCAACAGCTGCATTTGCTGCACCATCCTGGAAAAAAATGGCGTGGAGTATAAAAATGTTTTAAAAGAAACAACAGGGGGGCAGATCCAAACACCTATATGAACAATGTCAGGGGTGACAGCTCTGAAACCAGACACAACCTTGCACGTGGATGCTTTGTGCCACTCCAAGTGCATCTCTAGGTGCTGCACTGCAAAACAACCCCCATCTCTGCTCCGAGGAGGCTGGCCACAAGCCATCTTTGAGGAGGAAGCCATGTAGCTGTTGTTAATGATAGGCTTAGTTCAAGGTGAAAGGAAGGACAATGTAACACAAGCTCAGCACCGCACTAATGTAGCCATCTATCTGCCAGTGGTTTGTAAAGACAAGTGACAGCTCACACCAGTCAGATCACTATCGAGTACATCTAGCCACAGGATAAATACCCCACATTGTGTGTGGCGCAGGATTAAAGTGACAGGTTTGGACCATGCCAAACCACAGCCTCTTCCTTCCCCAGTAGTTTCTCCAGATACCTCCATGCTGTTGATTTAATCACTCTGTAATAAAATTTCCATGGGTCAGGTTTCACCTACACCACTTCCCTGCTATTGAGGACACTGACTGGACAAAGCAGGGATCTTTTCTCTGCTGTAAGGTCCCAGAGAGCTGTGAGGAGCATGGATGCCTTGTCCACTTCTGCATCACCAGCCTGCCTTCATGGCATGGTTTCCAACACACAAGTGCGGGTGCATTGGGAGAGGCTGAAGCAGACAGCAAGGCCCCTCTACCTGTATGAGTGTTTCCAGGCACAGTGCTTTTTCTAAGCACCCAAAGCCCCAAACAGCCCTCTTTGCACACAATTCAGCCACTCAGTGCTTGGGTGCATCCCAAGTCCACCCACTTCACAGCACAGGAAACAGGTTGCCTGTGAACTGGGGGACACTTCCACCAGGATGGACTCATGGATAAGAATGATGTCGTGTGGCTGCAACAACCCTACACTTGCACCGGGACCAGACCACGCCATCAAAAAGCCCCATCTCCGCAGTCCGTCAGTATAGATGCTAACATGAACCCTTCTCGGTGGACACAGCTCCACCTACAGCAACTCTCAGCTTGCAGACCTGCAAAGCAGGAGGTGCCCCAGTTGCGATCGCCTCATGCCCCCAGCACCACGAGGCAGCGCTTGGCCATGCCACTGCCTGGGCTGAATGCTCTGGCCGCATCCCAAGGGAAAGTAACACATAGTGCCCCCGGAGCTGGGACCTCCCACACCTCCCTCCAACCCGCACATCCCGCCTTGCTGGAAGGAAGCCCAGAGCATCGCTCCCCAGCCCCCATAGGCTGGGGTGCAGCCAATGTGCACTGGAGACCAAGCCCTGACAAGGCACCACACACAAACCCTGCCAAGGGGCCAGGCTCAACTTTTCTAATTGCTACCTTAGCTTCTGAACCAACATGAAGGAAACAGAGGCAGCCTTATTTCTGGTGGCGAATGCAAAACACACTAGTGCATGTCCCCAGCCGCCACTGACAGCCGCTGCTTACGACAGCAAGCAATCCCGAGCAAGTTTCTGATTTATTCCTCCTGAACTTCATCCCAATCAAACTTTACCCTCTTGCAAGCCCAGCAGACTCCAGAAGAGGTACACGTGCAGAGCACACAGGCGCATATACAGGCACAGGGAGACCTGTGGGGAGGAGGGAGCATGCACACAGGCACTCCTTCGCCACGCTTGCAAGCTAATTTCACCTGGGCAAGAGAGGAGCATTTTCACTGCAGAAAGTTAAGGCCCCTTCTACAGTGAGACACCAGCAGCCCTACTGTGGTAGGACTGCTGCTGCCGCTGCATGCAACCACAAGGCAGAGGGATTCTTGCCTTCACAGCATCCTGCAGGAACACTGCCTAATTCACTACCTGATTAAAAATAAATCACACATGGCAACAATGTCTGTTCCCACTACGCTAGGTACAACCATGCACACGACCACTGAGGTCTCCACTCCTTGCAGTAAACCACCACCAATTGCCCTCCACTCCTGAACAATGCAACGCCTTTCCCTTTGCCCAGAGAGCTATTTCAGGTACCAGAGCTTGAGGAGCTTGAGCTCTTTAAGGGAAACTCCTCCCTTATTCCCATCCACCACCACAGCATCATGTCTTGCTGCAGCTACTGGCATATCCTGTCCAACCCCATCCCCCAATATGACTGCATTACAAACAAGGCTAGAAAGGCAACAACAAAATTTCAGGACCGCACTGAAGATGAGCAGGGAAAAAAAATACCCATCACCAAACAAACAAAGAAAGGACACACACTCTCAGGTAACACCAATTTCTACTTTGCATTGAAGGTGGCTTCTTTCAACAAAGAAAAAGGAAAAAGAAAAAGAAAGAAAGAAACGGAAAATTAAATGGAGAGAGAAAAAGCTAAAACAGAAATGGGGTGAGTGGCTAAAAATCTGAGACTGGGCAAATATAACCTAACAGCAATTGGCAGCCTTTCTGATGACTAGACATTGAAAGAATTCATGACTTCAATCAGGCATAGATATGATATTTCATAGGTAAATAACCATTTCATGTCAAGCAAGCTTGTCTACAGCATAATAAAAGGAAATATTAGGAAGCAAAACACAAGTTACAAGCATAGACAGACATTTTGTTTACAGGTACATTTTACAAAAGAATGGTGTGAGTGTCTCTCTCTATACAGTATATATATATATATATTAGCTAGCTCGAGAAATTAGAGATATTTGCTTGAACAGTCTCCTTACTCACAGAGGTTACTGTAGCTCCAGCAGTTACCCATTGGTCAAAGAAACAAAATGCACAGATCATCAGTTTATCTATAGCGATACCAGCTAATTCAATTGCTGCTGTTCTAGTCAACTGGAATCAAAATAGTTTCAAATTTCCTGGCAGCTGCTGCCCTGCACTGCACACAATGATGTAAATGGATGCTTTCTGAGTATTATGAAACTGATGGGGGAACTGCAGTCTCATTCAGTCTATCGCAGGAGCTATAAGGAGTCCACCTTGGCAGCTTGCAGGGGGAAAAAAAACTTCCTCCAGCAAGGCTGCCTGACGGTATGCCAGGAAGACGTCTGTGCTTAGCTGCCGTTTACTGTAACTGCGT